TAGACGTGCTCCACCCTTGTGTAGTTAGGCGGCCTTTCTTGTATTTTTAAATTATTTTGCTTCTCTCTGGCATAACAGATACTGAAGCTGCCACCGTGGTTTGGCCATGTGTGGATGCTTGTTCGAAGCTATCGTGAAGCATTCGGGGCCATGCTTTGATAGAATAAACACGATGCAGCATTTTTGACATGCAGGGGCCCATACTGAGCTCGCACACTCAAACAAATGAAGCGTGATAAGAAGGAAGAGAAGCAGCATGATGAAAAGAACCAAAACAGACAGAAAAGACAAGAGTATAACCTGATGGGTAGCTACAGGAAGGCGGCTAGGACCAGAAATGAAAGGATCAAGGTGCAGGCACAAAGTGAACGTGCAGGATCTTAACAAATAAAATATCCTGCAGGATGGCACTGTGACCATACGTAAATATTTAATCTGTTACATGAAGTTGTAGGACATCTGAAGACTGATCTGGTTTATTGGCCTTGGTGGAGCTATTTGTTCTCTAAGTCAGTGGTTTATGTGGTTTCAGTGGTTTGGTAACCTCCGTGTTACTGCTTGCTTTATTTTTTGTGTATCTTATTTTTTTCTGACTCACGAGTTAGCTCGTGTGTGTTGTTGTTTATGTGTTTGTATTTATTTATTATTTGTATTGTTATACCATCAACTTTATAGAAACTGCACATGGATACTAGCTTACATGGCTAAGTTTGGCACATTTACAGGTGAACCATTTCCCCCCCTTTTTTAATTAAAAGAAGTTCAGCAAATAATCCTCCAAAATAAATAAATGTCCAGGTGTTTCAGGCTCACTCAAAGCAGTAAAGATATCAACATTTTTGTCCTTTCCAATTTATACTGCTAGCATTACTAAATTACTAAAACTAAGACATCACCATGCATGAACCTCAGTCTGTTCTGTCTGAAATTATCTTAATACAAATTAGAGACATTGCATTTCCTACAAAAATGCAGTGTGAATGCTTATTGCTGAAGAAATTGCAGAAAAACAGCTGAAATTAAGGTTTTTTTTTTTGTTTTTTTTTTGTTGTTTTTTTTAAAGCATGAATTGGAGCTGAAATGGAAGAACAAGCCTAAATTAGCAGAAGAAAGCAGAAAGAACACATATTTGCTGAATCGGGTTTAAAGAAGCAGTAATGAGCACAAAAATAGGATATCAGCTTTAAAAAGAAGAAGCTGAAATTAGCTTTAAAAATAGATGAAAAGTAGCTGAAATGGCAGAAAGAAGCTTAAACTACCTGAAAGAAGTGGAAAGAACTGCAATGAGCTAAAAAAAAAAAAAAGTGGAATTAGCTGAAAATGTTAAAATGTGTATCAAAAGAGCTAAATATTAGCTGAGAGAGCAGAAAAGGCTGAAACTAACATAACAAAGCTGAAAGGAGCATAACAAGTTGAAATTAGCATAAAGAAGTTAATTAGGCTGAAAGTAGTTGAAAACTTAAATTTATCTGAAAACAGCTTAAATTAGCTAAAAAAAAAAAAGGCTAAAAATCTAGCTGAAAAGGTAGAACAAGCTTAAATTAGCAGAAAAAAGCAGAAAGAATGTTTGCCCAATTATATGACGAAAGAAACGTAAATGAAAAAAGCTGAAATTATCAGAAAAAAGCTGAAAAAAGCTGAAATTATCTGAAAACAGTTTAAATTTGCCCAAGGAAGCTGAAAGAGGCTGAAGCAGAACAAATTGTGAAAGGAGCAGTAAAAGGTTGTAAACAGATCTAAAAATTTGAAGGATGTGAAATGAGCTCAATTCTTTTTCTATGAGACAAAAATGACAGAAAAAGCGAAATATTTCCAAATGCTAAAGTTGTACTAATAAAAGTCAAGCACCCGTCTCCTGAATGAGCTGAACATTTTGATATATGATTTGTTGAAGTAGCACAAAAATTGTGCAACGAGAAAGATGCTGAAAAACTTATGGAAGAAAAATGGATCACAATAGTGTGAACACTTCATAAGCATGAACCAAAACCCACCTCTTATACTTTATTCAGCCAACAGACTGCTTGTTAAAGGCAATAAAAACATTCAGATTTCAGGTTTAACTCCAGTAATTACTTGTTTATTCAGTAATGCAGATTCATCATGTTTAAATTATTTCTACAGCCTGATTTTAAGGCTGGTTCAGTATTTTATTTTATTTTTTAACCATGAACTTTCTCTACATAAAAGACACCAGTTGTACCAGACAAAGCTGTTTTTACTGACAGGTTAGTGTTTAGTTGGTTTAATAACATGTTTGCCTAATTTTGTACAAACTCCCAACTAATCCACCAGTGTGCGTGCGCTTAGTAACAGCTGCGAGGCTCCAGTGGGCTGGCAGGAGGAATGACAGACATCCTATCTGAGCATTCCTGAGGGCAGAACACTTTCACCTCAGGAAACGACACTAAGACCACAAATAAAAACTTTCTGCCAACTGTCAAAAGACTGCTCTCCAGGCATGAGGTCTGGAGTTTGATGATCTAACCTTGATTTTCATGATGCTTGGATGTGATCTTTACATTTTCTCTGGAGTTTATCACATCCTTTGTGTAAAAAAAGCTATGTATTATTTTATGTGCTTGAATACGTCTGGTTTTATTTGTCCATCCACTGCTGCTCATCTGGTCTTGTTCACGTGTCAAGCTTCAGGCCAAATGTTGCCCTCGTTGACATCTTATCTGGCCCCCAAGATGATATGTGAAACGTAAAATACTTTTATCATTTGAATTTTTTCAGTAATCTTTGATTATGATGTCGAAAGCACAACAGAGAACGGTCAAATGAGACCAATCAAACTCTTGTTGAGGAACCTGTGACCAAGAAAAGATGTTGGGTATCTAACTTGAGTTAATGTATTTTCTGAAATTGGTCTTGGTCTTGTTTCTGCTCGGTCTAACTTGACTTTACATTTAAAAGATTTTTAATCACCTTGATACCAAAGGTGGGGTTACTACATGCCAACCAGAGAATTTAGACCAAGGTAATCCTCATTGTTGTCATAAACCAGCATGCCAGAGCTATTTTAAAATACAGAAATCATAGAAAGACCTGATTTAAACTATTAAACGTCTTTACATCTCAACAGTAGTGCAAGCTAAACTCCAATGTTTCCTGTGGTTTAAATGTACAAATAGTGAAAATATCATTTCATGAAAACATGCTCATAGTGACTTCTGCTGCAGGGAGATAGTGGTGGTGCAGCAATAACTTCCAAGAAATTAGTTCCTGTAAATTAGCACAATCTGGTCCCTTTAACATGTCACAGTGATTTATTGAATCATTAGCGTGCAGTTGGTCTAAAGAACACACCTCGTTTGTAACAACTTTTTTCCAGTTTTAGCTGGCAGGATGTGTTTCTGTCTGCAGCTCCAACTCTACTGGACGGTGTGCATTCTCCGCTGACCCCAGAAAAACCTGATAACAGGCTCCTTGCTCCTGCCCTGCCAGCCGTCACAAGGCTGAAGTGGAGCACAAAGACTCGCATTGTGTCCTGTTGCATATTTGAACACATATCTGTGTCTCGCACTATTCCAGCAATGTGAGATGGGGAGGCCTGATGCCTGACTTGCAGCTGCCTCCAAGCTGTTTTGCATGTTCTCACAACACACTTTTTTTAAACTACAGGTTGGAAATATTAAATTGGATTAAAATAGATGTGATAATGTTTAGGGAAGCTTCCACTTAGTTTGTAATGTGTTGTTGTTTGTCCTGCAGATACTGATTTAGCACTTTTTAAAAATCCCTTCTGATTCTCAAATTTAGCAATGCCTTTGTTTGATCAAAGTTTTGCTGTTATTATTTATGTTTTACGATTATCACCCACCAACAAAAGGTGAAGCTGGACAATAATGCTTTTGTCCACAAAGTACACATACACCTAATTAACTTTTTGAGCAATTCAAGATGACTGCCACAGCCAGCTGTCCTTGAAAAATAAACACAAAAATGACTATAACTCAGTCAGTTTAACAGATATTTTGAGCTAAAATGTAGTGTGGTAGTAGCTGAGGGTCATTCACAATGCATACTCTGAAGATAACGCCCAATGATATTGCATGAGATTGCACAAATGTTGTTTTTACTGTATGAGCAACAAATGGTGGCAGACAGTATTCATTTGTTCAAGAAGTGCCAGGTCTTTATTGTTCCCCGTGTGGAGCGGAGAGGTTGAATTGGATATACCCTTTCTTCATCTGTGCATGTTTTGAGCACGATAACTTGAACAATAAGCAAAGTACTGACTTCTATTTTGGTGTGTGGCTGCAGCTAGGCATAAACAAGGACACTATCGAAAATTGGGTTGCCACAAAGAAATTCAAGATGGCCACCGCCACCATATATATGTATAAACCAACCACCTCAATCATTTGAGGAAAATGCTTATTAGTTTTCATATTGCTTAAAAGTATAGTGTCCTCAAATGATTGGTGTGGCCGAAGATTAATCTAGGTGGCCATGGCCACCTTTGGCCACCCCCTTATTCCACCCCTGCTGGATAAAATTGCTCCATCTACTCACCAGGATTTGTCACTCTGTCACACCACGGACAAACAAAATAGTAAAAAATAAATAAAACTACCTCTTGTCTTTTACACGGTGCAATGTCTACCCACTTGAACATCTTGCCCTCAAAACATTAAGGTTTACTTACATTCCCTGTTCAATTCCAGTCAAAAAAAAAAAAAACACTCATCTCTAAAACTATAAACATTCACTGTTCAAATCCCTCATCGGTGGGGGACGTTGATGCACCCCATGTTGTTCACGCTTTATTCCTATTGTTTAGATCATTCATGTGTTTTTAAAGTTTCTATTGTATCAGCAGCCAGCGGTGATAACATCTTTTCTCTGTACAGACTAAGAAACGTTTGTCTGATTATCCACTTCTCTTTCTTCTCCTATCTTCACACTTAACTTCCATTTATTTCTCTTTCGTTCCTCTCATCTCACAATTTCACACCTTCTGCCACCTTTCGTTTGACCTCCATCCCTCCCAGTGTGTAGTAAACCTCATCAGTGAGCTCCAGGAGCAGATGTGCAAGTTTCAGGAGGAGATCAACACTCGCATCCAGGAGAAACGGGCCCTGGAGGAGAAGGAGACTCAGCAGGGGGAGCCCGGAGGCCCACCAGCCCAGGGCTGCAGTCCTCCTGACGGGTCAGCTGGCTCAGACCTGAGCCTGAATGCCCCAGAACCCTGGAAACACAAAGGAGGACAGACTGTTCACGTAGGGAGACTTGAAGGATGAACTCACCTTGCCCCCCATCATTCCCTCTCCTCTTCTCTTACTTCTTAACCCGTCCATGCACCACCAAGTCTTTGGAGTTTCCCACAGAATCAAACTAACAACTTCTAATGTGCAGAGTGTCTGTATGTGTGCTGCAGGATGCGGGGGGGTGGTGCTCTGCTCTGGTCCCTGCAGAAATGAACACGTTCGATTGGTTTTCCAAATGCTTCCACTCCGTTTGAGGAGCTGCAAATCCTTTGAACGGTTTGACGTCTGTTAGAGGGGCCACACTCGGGAATCTTTCTGTCTTTTACTCCTCAACAGTTTGGAGCATTTGGAACATAACTCAACTTGATCATGAATTGTCTTTCCTTTTTTATTTATATATTTTAAAAGTCTTGGGTCAGCATTGTGTTTTTATGTGATCAAATGTAGTTTGTTTGCATGGCAACTCTTCTTCCACTTACTAACCAAGTTTTATGTCTGCTTCCTCCTGCTCTGACCAGGTGGATGGGTCATGTACCAAGAAGTAGTCCTTTTCAAGGTTTCCCTCAGACAGAGATAACGATCGGCTGTTAGATGTGTAGTCTGAAAGCCTTCCAATCGTGTTCTGGGTTCATCCTTTTCCTGCCTGTTGATAACTGCACTTTGTGGTGTTTGTTTCAGGAGGATCGTGTTTCCTTTATTAACCACAGTTCTGTCCAAACCTGGAGACTTCTTATAACTGCACTGAGTTTGAACCTGGTGTTTAATTCCCCTACTGTTCATGTGTTGGCATGCATACGTTCCAGGGCTGTTGACAAGCTCCTGAGATTTGGATGCTTTTTCTATTTGTAACACCTGTGCTAGTTGGCATAATGTGTTGTTTACCTAAAACATAGATTTGGTTTTCCTGCAGGATTTGGTACAGGAAGTTAAGCAGCTGAAGAGCAAAGTGGAGGAGCTGGAGGGAGAAAAGAGCCAGTATGAGAGGAAACTCAGAGCCACCAAGGTACACCGCTACGCTTTTATGGGTATAAACATCACATGTTGATGTTTAACAGGAAGAGCTGTGAGAGAAAAAAGATGTTCACTTTTTTGTCTTTAAGGTAATAATTCACAGAGTTACAGAAAATAAGAGGCAACAGTGTTTACAGCTGTCAGTTCCTCGCTGTTAGATTTCTAGTAAAAATGGCAGGAGGTTTCTGCTCCAAGCCAATAAACTGACAAGGATCAGCAGGAAGTAAAGTAAAAGATGTATGGTAGGTTAGAATGGTGGCTGGGTTTCTCCCTTCTGTTTTCAATCCTTACAGAAACCCTTTATAACCTGACAGACCATGTTTTACTTTTATTGATCATGCCTGATGCAGTGTGAGCTCTGTATCCTCACCATCAAAACTTACAAGTCCCTGCAGAGCGAAGAGGCGGAAATGGAAAAACCCTCTGTCCATATGTGTTGTGAACGTAACTTGAAAAATAAGTGAGGTACTGACTTCCATTTTTTTTGTGTGTGGCAGCATATATACATAAGAAAAAAATAGTTTAAGTCCAAATCCAAAATGGACACCCCAGCATACTTGTGCTTGTATTCAAAGGCCACCATTGGCCACCCCCTCCCTCTGCCATTGCACCTGATGGTGGATAAAATGGATCCCTCCACTCACCAGGATCCGTCACTGCACCGCAAGGGACAAGGCAAAAGAAAACAAAAAACTGTCTTCTCCTCCACAGTGTAACTCCTACCCATTTGAATATCTTGTACAAAGTACCAAAAACATTAAGATTTACTTACATTCCCTCTTCTAGTCCAGAAAAACACAAATCTCTTAAACTATAAACGTTCACTATTCAAATCCCTCTGCAACGGGAGACATCGGCATACCGCTTGTTTTATTAATTATTATTGTTAACTAACCTCCCTTGTAATTTATTAATCTAAAGTGGAGTGGCAAAGTTCCCACCTCCTTTTGGGGGAAGCAATCCTGCCACTTTGACGGTAGGTGAATGAAACTCCTAATATGGTGATTCAGAAAATACGGCAGGCAAGCAATTATTTAATGTCAATAGAAAACACCCAACTCACAGTTATCATGTTTTTCTTTTATTAAGTTGCTTTAATTTGCTATTTTGACTGTCGTTTATGAGTGCACATTACAGTAAACTGTTAGGCAGCATTCTTTAAGGTGGTTTACCTAGTATCTGCAAAATTGTTTAAATAATTTAACTTGTTATAAAGATCTGTTCTATTGAAAATGTCTCCAAAACAAGTAAGTTTAATAAAATTAACCTCTGGTTTTTACACGCTTGATTGTATTTATGTTTTGATACAGTGATGTAGAGTTGCATACAGGCCCAAAAAATCCAATCGAGCCCCAGCCCGTAGCCATAATTTCTGAACCCCACCCGACCCGACGAATTAACGGTAATTACAGGTCCGAACCCGAACAACAAAAAATTTTTAATTAAGCTTTGACTGTTTTATAATTATTAGTGGTCGGCAGAAGTGAGCGGGTGAATAAAAGGGGCAGAAGATTGGAGCTGAGGGGGTGTTTGTCCTTTCATGGCCGTCAAAGAACTCCCTGCTTCTGCCTGCATTCTGCATTATTCAGACACGAACCCTGATCTACATGTCTGCTTTTGGATCTCACCTGTTTGGGTTATCGACCACGCGCGTTCGCTGAGTGCAGCGGCTGAATGAACATCCATTTGGGTGATGGATCGCTTCCTGGCAGTACAGTCCCATCTGAAGCTTAACTGAACTTTATTTTACCTCTTTCAAGGCCAGTCAGCTCGCAGTGAAATGGCCATGTGCGGCTGGTATAGTATGGCAAGCCATGTTGCCATATAGTTGGACTGTATGGCAAGTCATCTTGCCATATAATTGGATCGAGGCCAAAAGCCCGACCCAGCCCACCCATCCAGCACATTATCATGGCCTGGCCCGCCCCGAATTCAGGTCAGGCCAGGCGTAGAGATGTCAGCTCTACAGTGATGACTTCCATACACAAAATAAAATGGCTGCCACATGTTGCCCTCTGCAGCTGGACTGAAGCCACAAGTCTCCCGTTTTATTGCCCTGCTTTAATAGAAGAAAATAAAAACACAAACTGATTTTTTTTTTTTACATTTTTGCCAAGCAAAATGCAACAAGACCACTTTTATTTTCACTTTTGACACCAGCAGTTTTACATCACTTGTTTTCTCCTAAAAGCACGGGGTAACTATTTGGAGGAGGAGGAAGTGGCGTGACGTTGCTCGTCTCTATTACAAAATGCTGCTGCTCGTACTTCACTTATTAACAATAAAAAACGTGTACGTAGTCCCTCGCTACCTCGCGGTTCGACTTTCACGGACTCACTCTTTCGCGGTTTTTCAAAGTAAGATTGGACATGACACACATTTGGCTGATTGATGGATAAGTCGCACGGTTGGCATGGAATTTTTTAATTTAAAATAAATCTTTTAAAATTATTTAGCTCCTGCAGCATGTCGATTCTGCTCTGCAGCAAAGAAGTGGGCGTGACCAAGGGCGCTGGCCGGTGGCAGAGAGAGCGGAGATCATGACGTGCTGTGCTCTTTTAGAGCATTTAGAGTTTAGAAACAGTATTTAGATTATTGCAAGAGTGTGAAGGGTTTAAAATGCCTACCTATGTACTACTATACCTACTTTGCGGTTTTTCATTTATCACGGGGGACTGAGAACAGAAACCCCAGTGATAAACGAGGGACTACTGTATAATTAGTGACGCTGTTTTTAATTATTTATTCATATTTCCCTTCAGTTGCATGAATGTATTTACTCTGCCGTCATAGATTTGAAACGTTTTGCTGACAAAAATTAATTAAACTGTAAAAATGAGCCTGATCCCTCCTAACACTTTGCATATTGCTGGTTTATTTGAAGGTCACACTGCTGTTGCTTCTCACTGCTTACAATCCTCCCTTCCTCCTCTTTTACTCTCTCTCCATCTTCTTTTCTTCTTTATTGACTCCTATCCGTGACTCGCTCTCTTCTCTTTATTTTCCGCTCTTCTCCTCCCCCCATCATTACCCTCTTCCTGTCGTCCTCTCTCTCTCTAGCTCTCCATCTCTTATTCTCTCCATGTGTGTTACCAGTCGCTCATGACCCAGCTGTCCAGCCTCAAGCTGACTGTGGAGCACACACAGCTGGAGAAGCAGCACTGGGAGGAGCGCTGGCGCAGCGCACAGGTGCCTCCTCTTCCTCCTGCTCTTCCCTCTTCTCGCTTTAGCTTTTATTTATTTTTTGTCTCTGATTAGGCTGAGATTTCTGAATGCCTCTTCTTTTAGCACTCACACATGAAGTTTGCAGCATGTCCTCCTTTTCCCTTCTTGTTTTGTCTTGAGATAGAATTGGACAATAAAACTTTTCAATATTTATTAAGCTTTAGTGTTCAGAGGCCGACAGAATGAAAATCTGTTCTCCTTCCCTCGCTGTTGCAGTCTGTCCTTTTTGATGCAAGTTTGCATGCAATGCACATTTTATATAAGAAGTTAAAGGTACTCATTGCAAACTGTGTTAGAGAACAAGTCATCCTGATGGAGCAGTTTGAGTTTCCTCCAGTCTGTAAATAAACAAAAATGGCAGAATCAGACAAGCGTAGAATCTTGGGCAATTTTTTATTTTAGTTTTTATTTTATTCGCCCATGGAATGGCAGATTTGTTATGATACAGTCTCTGTCCGTCCGTTAACTTTCTTTTTAATAACCCATAACTTCTGATGTGCTCAAGATAATTAAACAAAACTTGATACTCATACTGTATGTATGATCACTAGACGGAGTGTCGCATACACTTTTTATCATCCTTGTTTATAGGTCACAAATCAAGGTCTAAGTGTATACAAGGTCTTTGCTTGTCCAGGGGATCGCTATAGATTGCCGTATAATAGTCTGTGGACGGGCAAATAATGTGCCGTATGTGATACTTCTGCTCGTTAAGTTTATAACCCAGCAAATTTGTCTTATGTTGTATTTTCCAGCAAAGTGGGTGAAATACATCCTGTTTTCAAAAGTGTTTCAATTTAGATTGCTTAAAAACATATCTATAATTTATAATACAAAAGGTTAAATTGTGTAATCTGGACCAGTTTATTTATGTGAGAAATGTTTCATACCCCATCCAGAGGACTTCCTCAGTCTATGGCCTACCTGACTACCTATGGGACAGATCTGTTTGGCAGGCCGTAGACTGAGGAAGTCCTCTGGATGGGGGACGAAATGTTTTTCACTTAAAGTGGAAGATTTAACCTGTTTTTTGTTATCTACCTGGATGATTGAGCTTACAACCCTATATCTATACTTTATTTAACCAATCAGAGCATAAATCATAACTGTCAAACTTCTGCATCCCAAACTTCTCTTCTTCGGTGGTCGCCACAGCTCAACTGTTTTCAGTCACTCCAGATGTTTCTATAAGTAAAGAGTCACAAGAGGTCAGATTAAACCATTCCCAAATTTGTTTTAGTGCTTTTAAATTTAAGGACACATTACCCATCATTTTGAAATTAAAAAAATTGTTCTGACTTGATTTCTTTATGAATTTCTGTTGGTTGTTGCAATGAGTATCTTTAATGCAAAAGCTGTGTTTGTGTAACTTTGGTGCTTTTGTCTCCATTTTGTTGAATATTTTAATCGAGTTCTGTTAAGTTCTGACTTTGAAGTGCTTTCTAGCCAGAGTTTTTCACTTTCGTCTCTGTCATATTAGTCCTAACTTTGATTGAAATAATTCTGCGGGTTCTTCGATTCATTCTGTTTTGCTCACTCCCTTGTTTGCTGCAGACGTCTAAAGGTGTCACTTATTTAAATGAAAGCAGCCGCAGGTTTGCATTTATAACCACACACCTGTCTCTTGACACCTGTCGTCTGCAGCAGCTTCAAACACCTGCAACCGGTTGGTAATTAAATTTAAAAAAAATTGAAAAAACATAAATTTAAGAAAATGCACACAACCCCTGAACACAGTCAAACTGCTTTACATATATTTACTACAAATACAAATTTATGAATCTACAAATGTTACAAACCGTTACAGGAATGAAGGTTTTTTATAATCAGCTCTAATTTAGTGTAGTTTTTTTCTTATTAGTAAATAAAAATTGCAGGTAAAAGTTAATCAAATTCTTTTTTTTTTTTGTCAATATTAGGTGGTCAATATAAAATATAAGTCAAATCATTTTTTTCGGGAACAAAATTTCTGATTGACGAGATCCTTTTTAAAGCACATATCGTTTATAGCGTTAAACATTTTAAGGCAGGGGGGTAGCACAAGGCCAGTTAAAGTTTATTTACTCCAGTTATGCAAATAAATGATGATTTAATCTTTTGAATGAGTTCTGGGTGATTTTTGTGACACGTTCAGGTGTAATCATGTCATCGACCGCCAGCCCATTAGTCATCTACATCTAATAAATCATTTTTAAGAGAACAGTTTGCTACGTTGCCCTAAACATGTATAAGCTGTGATATTCAGTGACGTGGAAGACCGTGTCAGTTCACAGTCATCCACTTTGTTTTCATCCACAGGTGGAAATCTCTGATCTGCAGCAGCTCTTGTCCTCCAAAGACTCTGAGATCGAGGGCCTGCAGACCCAGCTGCTGGCCAGAGGCGGCAGCACCAACGACAGCGCAGAGCGAGGTACTGACGAACCACGACAGATCCACATCTGTCAGTGCTGATGTGTGAGAGACGGCCAGCGATACTCCTGTCTGTCAGCTCACATTATTGTCACATTATGTCCATCATGTCTGACATGAACTATGACTGTTCTTGACTCCCTGCTGCCCTCTGCTGTAGAGGAGGTGTATATCAAGCAGCTGATTAACAAATGTAAGGCATCTGCTTGCTGTTCTCACTGGTCCAACTTCAAACCAAACTCCTTTTTCCCGCCATTTTATCCATTTGACTGATGAACTTTCAGTTTATTCATGTTCTGATTTAAAGATCAGACTTAAGCAAACTGGAAACATAAAAATGTAGATCCTTGAGCATGCGTTTGATTAGAAATTGGACCAAAGATTGTGTCTGTGTGTGTCTGAACAAAACATTACAAGGTGCAACAACTCTCTGCATCCTTTTAAATTCACATATCTTAAATAATGTGTCTTCAAGTTCATATAAGTAGAAATCTTATTTAATTGTACAACATTGTTTTATGCTGAAAATGACTGAACTCCCACTGGCTGCATTAAATGCAACATAAAACCACAGCAGGGCCACTTTTTAATATCCTGTCAAGCAAAGGAAGTGTGTGTGTGTGTGTGTGGGGGGGGGGGGGGGGGGTGGGGGGGGGTGGGGGGTGTGGGTGTGGGTTTGTGCGTGCGTATGCGTTGCATCCTGTTTCATATCATAAATCTAGCTCTAGCTGAGATGATGTTCCTCAACGCATACACCTTCTTTTTCCCCTCACATCCACACAGTTACCAGTGTAGCAAGTCATCAATAAAAAGATGTGCATAAACCATGAATATTAACATGATGGTGTAGGGGAATTAGCCTTAGATCAGATTAATGAATTCAAAAAATATGGGTTACAACTTAGATGAAACCTTTGATACCCACAAAGATTTCTTGGTCTGCCTAGAAATGCCCTCATTACAGAAGACGAGGCTCAGATTCATCGATCTTTACATATTGACCTTTAGATTTTTTAAAATAATTACAAATATGTGTAAAGATTTTGACTAATTTTGATAATATACTTGAAGGATTACATATAGTTTGTCAGTGTTGCAGAAAAACACGTTAGTGACCAGCTGCAAACAACAACAAACAAAGCATGGAACCTCTAACTGTGCAATACGGCAGAGTTTATGTCAGTAAATAAATAAAACAAACGGCTGAGTGCAGTAACGCTTGGCATAGTGATGGGCAATTCATTTGAGAGTTTATTATTTCTCTGATTGTTTAAAGTCAACCTGACATGATTGTGCTTTTCCAAACACTTAACAATTGTTTGACAGTTTAATTCAGCTAGAGCATTTCAATTTTAGTGCCAAGTGATTTTAAATTACCGTATTTTTCGGCCTACAAGTCACTGTTTTTTGCATAATTTGTATGCCCTGTGACTTCTACGCTGAAGCAACGTATTTATGGATTTTTCCCATATTTATAAACCAGGTTTTGGCTGAGATATGACCGTTTTCATTCATTCTGACTGAAAATATTGAACACTACCATTTTCAGCCACTAGATGGCATTCGAGTAGTATGGCATGCCGTTGAGTCATGTAATAGGTAAAAGTGGCTATTAATGATACAATCGGCTTGCCATAGACACTTTTCTCCAGCTTACGTGCAGCAACCGTCAAGCAAGCTTCATTTTGCTGCACTGCCCCGGCAAAATGCAGCTAACTTGATCATTGAAGTGCATTTATTAAGTAAATGTTCAACTGAGACAAACCTTTTACTATAATGTCGAGCAAATAAACAATTGTTTTAGATGCTTATCTTGTTAAATTTTGAAGAAAAGTGCACCATTCCACCTTCATGATTTCCTCCCTCTGCGTGCGCCCAGAGCACCGAGGCAGCAAATACTTCTGAAAATGCAGCTGATTTGACCGTTAAAGTGCATTTATTAAAGAAAAGTTAGACTGAGACACACCTTTGCTATAATTTCAAGCAAGCAAATAATTGTTTTTAAGTGTTAATCTTGTTAAATTCTTGTTAGTCCTCCCGTGCATGCTTCTGTGGCCGCCATTTGGCAGTCAGTAGATGTTTGGCACAACACAGGCCCACATTTCCTGGTTGTCAGCGGTGATGCGTAACAAATGCGACGCGTCATCGGTGACGCATAATAGATGCAACTTATACAGCGAAGCTACGTATTTATGTTTTTTTTTCCACTTTATTAGACATATTTGGACTGATGCGACTTGTACGGTAGAACAACGTATACGGCGGAAAATACGGTATACTAAAATAAATATAAATATACTCATCCCCTTTTTGCACATTATAAAGCTAAAGTAGCTCCACTAAACAAAAAAGGAAAAGCTTTTCCTTTAAGTGTGGATTTAAAAGGATGTTTATTGTTTTATTGGGTACAGGTTCGTCTTTTTGACTCAGACGGCGCTCGTCTTCTCAGTTACTGTGCATCATTTCATAAATCTGTGCTCTCTGTCCCAGGTGATGGTGTGTGAACACTCGTGCTGTCACTGTGTATTTGCTTTGCCTGTTTGTTTGCATTTGCACAGCTGTCACATCTGTCGCCATCAGATGGCGTGAACTAACCAAGGTGAAAGTTCTGACAGATCCTTGTCATATTTCTCCTTCGTGTCTCCTGTTAGACCAGGAATACCAGAGACTGAAGGTTGGGATGGAGTCTTTGTTGGCTTCAAATGACGAAAAGGTAAATTAAATCACTTTCTCACACTGCTGCTGTTAAGTATTTGTAAATGCATTTCAAAAGAAGTAATATTTGGGTTTGGTTCCAACAGGACCGTCGGATAGAGGAGTTGAGTGTTCTGCTGGGCCAATACAAAAAAATGAGGGATGTTATGGCTCTCGCACATGGTGAGACTTCCACCTGTTTATGTTCTTATAGTTAAACCATTATTCTGCCATTAATTATTTGTTTTAACGAGCTAGGGAGCAGTGAAGAGGAGCTGAGCAGCAGTTTAAAGCTAAAAGCTATCACACACAAAGCACACTCTGACATCATCAGATCAGAGGTATAATAATTATTTAATAAATAATCTGCTTACAAACTGGAAAGATTTCAAGCAATTCTCAGCAGTAATGTTTTTTAAGTCACTGTTTTTTTTGCAGGAAAATGAGACATTTCTTTATTTCTGTGCAGATGTCATCCAGAGGATCTTCTCCACTTATGCTCTCCTCCTCCCCCTATCAGAGAGAAATGGATTATAGGTAAATAAATAAAAATAATTCACAGCAAACATGCAGTACACACACAACAAACATAATGTTATAGGTTAGTGAAGTTCATGTCCTGGTTCTTGCAGTTTTCAGAACAACGTGGACACGTCGCTGCTGAGCACAGGCAACACAAGTTTCCTGAACGGATCGTCGTCGTAAGTTCTTCATCCCCTCAAGTCACTTTAACAAACTATAGAATGGAAACATGCTGAAATCTATTTAATGAGATTTCAGTGTCTCACTGGGTTGTGACTAGTTGGTGAACAACCTCGATGAGGGAATCTCCAGAACATCTTGCGATGTTCCTGGTGGTTGTTTCCTCGCAGATACGCTCGAGTTTTAAACGTGGTCAAAAAGAGTTTATGCGACAAATCCTTTCAAAATATTCACAACCAACAAGCCGCAAGCATTCGAGGCATCTCCAGCACCATATTTTGATCTATTTTATAAATTGTTATACAGTATATTTTATATATATTTATTTTATAAATACAGTATATTCTATCATTTAACTACTTAGACTACAAGCTGGATGACCCTAAATTTTCTGCTTTTGAACACAGACAAGACTGAGGTTTTGGTTTTTAGACCTGAGCACCTTAGGAATGAATGTTTCAGTCTTTCGCCCTCCTTGGATGGCATTAATCTGGCCTCCAGCTCTAATGTTAAAAATCTTGGTGTTATTTTTGGTCAGGACACGTCATTTATCCCCCACATTAAACACATTACCAGAACTGCCACCTGTGTAATATCGATAAAATTAGAAACATCTAAAAATGGTGCAGAAAAACTGGTTCATGCATTTGTCACGTCTAGACTGGACTATTGCTATGGTTTGTTATCTGAGTGTCCAAATACTTCTTTAAAAAGTCCAGTTAATTCAAAATTCTGCTGCCAGAGTCTTAACTGGGGTTAGTGGGAGAAATCATATATTTCCAGTTTTAGCTTCTCTCCTTTGGCTCCCTGTCAAATCCAGAATTGAATTCAAAATCTTACTTCTAACCTACAAAGCCCTCAACAACCTAGCTTCATCTTATTTTCTAGATCTTATTGTTCCATATTTTTCTAACAGAGCACTTCGCTCTCAAACTGCAGGTTTACTCGTGGTCCCTAGAGTTTCCAAAAGCAGAATGGGAGGAAGATCTTTCAGTTATCAGGCTCCTCTCTTGTGGAACCAACTTCCAGTTTCTGTCCATGAGGCTGACACATTGTCCAGTTTTAAGACTGGGCTTAAGACTTTCATTTTGATCAATCCTATAGTTAGGGTTGACTTGTTATGCTGCCATAGGACAAATTGACCTCATTTCTTAAATAAATTGTTAAAATGAAATAGTTTTCATTTTATACTATTTCTATCTTAACATGGGATTCTTGACCTGCCATTGTGTATCTGTTCCTATCAAACCCAGCCGGTCAAAGCAGATGTCCACTTGTCCTGAGGTTTCTTCCTCATGAGGGATTTTTTCCTTTCCACGGTCGCCTTCGTGCTTGCTCAAGATGAGAGTTCTGTGATGGAGTTAAATTCCAAGCAGTCTGCTCCTCAGATAAATAGTGTTTATTTTCATATATGAATGTTTCTGTTCAGTGCCATGAGATGAGTTCTGTTGTGACTTGGCGCTATATAAATAAACTGATTTTAAAAAAATTGAATTGAATATTTTGACAAATGTGCAGGTCTAAAATCTGAGCTGAAATTCAATCAGAATGACTGAAAAACTGCTTCAAATCTGCATTTCTTCATTTTGAAAATGTACTCCTGTAAATGTGGGGGAAACTGCCAAGGTAGACATGTGAGCAGCGGTGGACAACAAAACAATGTGCGTGGTCGAGAATGCAGTTCTGCAAGCCATGCACACTAAAACCAGTTTCCTGATTTCGCTGCCACACGGCTCACTGGTTGCAAACACTCGAAGTTCAGTGACACTGAAACAAAAAAATCACACACCAGTCTCCAACAGTCCCAGCCCAGTGAGATTCTCGTTGTTTTCCAGGCACCGGCACAGATTGCTCTCCAGCAGTCTTGAGGAGTTGCAGAGTGGGTCTTTACAAAAGGTTTGTTTAACACCACTAATAATCCAAATATTACATTATCAACTAAATTATTAATCAGTTCTAACTTTCAACTCTTTCTTCTTCTGATTGCTCACCCACTAACTCTGTGTGTGTGTGCTTTATCTCTCCCGTGTGTGCTGGGGCTTCAGGCTGTTGAGGTCCAGCCAGTTGAAACAGAATCAGACGTAGGGGCAGAGGTACTGATCTGCTACATGACAAAACACCAGCCTCTCATCCCACACCTCCTTTGTACACAGTACTTCTTTTCAGGGTGTTTTATTCTTTGTTTATTTTTTTTAATCTACGTAACGAAGAAGTGGCGCTTTATCTTTTTTCTTTTATTATAACTACTCACTTTGGTGGTTATTTTTAAAAAATGTGGAAAAATGTGTCTTGGTATCAGTTACAAAGACAGCAGATCAAGTTAACGTCGCCTTAATAGATTCTGATATGTCACAGAATTGTGAAAATTTTTGCATAATTTCTTTTATTAACTAAATGATCCTTGCTGCTTTTTCTAATGTGGGACGTTGTGATGCAACACTCCAGCTGCACTTTGACTTCCTCTGTCCAAATGACCCTCTGTAAGAAGTTCAAACTGAATCTTTCTTTAGTATAAAACAAAGAAATGCATCTTGTGCATTACACACACACACAGGGCCAAGACCTACCTGAAGTGGCTGTCGGTAGTGCTCGGCATCACCGCAGCCCCCCAGCTGTTTCGCTTCGTTGGCCTTTCTGCGTTATTCCTTCAGAGCCCTGCTGACTGTGATGCCTGGTCAGATGCTTACATCGTCACCCTCCAAAGGACATTCTGTTATTCAGCAGAGCGAAAGGGCAGTTCTCATAGTTTCCACCCAACCAACCCAATCTTATGAAAGACGAGAGACTCAAAACACAAATTCATTCCCTGAGACCAGCTATAAAAATGACGAGTTGTTAAATAATATGAGACAAAGTGGGTTATTATTTTTAGTGTTTCAAAAAAAGTTGCCATCTAGTTTTGCATACTTTGTGCTACTTTAACCATTAATACATCAAAACGTTCCGCTTACGGAGATGGGCGTTTTAGTTTTTGTAACGTCTGTTTTTTTTTGTTTTTTTTTATTTAACTTTTAATTACAGTTTCTGCATAGAAATACATTGAGATCTTCTAAATCCATTAAAAAACAATGTCTTTAAAATCTTCTTCAGCACACCTGCTCTAAGTGTCTTCTAACACTACTTTTAGCTTTTAACTAGCCTTTTGTAACTTTTTGCTTTTAGTCAGCATTTTGAGACTTTTAACTGTTTGTTTACATTTAGCTTTTAGCCACTTTGCTACTTTGGGCTTTCAGCTAACCTTTATTAATTTAAGCTTTTATCCATCCTTTTGATGTTTTTAGCTTGTTAGAATTAGATTTTTAGGTTTTAGCCATCCTTTAGCTACTTTTATTTTTAGCCAAGCTTTGATACATTTAGATAGACATTTGGTACCTTTAGCTCTTATTCAGCTTTTGCTGCTTTTAGCTAGGTGCTTGCTGCTTTTAGACAGCTGGCATTTAGTTACATTTAACTTATATCCAGGTTTTTGCTATTTTCAGTTTTTAGCTAACATTTTACTACTTTTGTCTCTTATTTAGCCTTTTGCTACATTTTGCTTTAAGCCAGCATTTTGATCATTTTAGCTTGACATTTGTTGCTTTTATAATTTTGTTACTTTTAGATTTTAGCCAGCCCTTTGATACGTTTTATACCTTTTGCTGTCTTTAGTTTTTAGCCTGCCTTTTGGTTTACCTTAAATTTTAGACAAACATTTGATACTTTTAGCTAGTGTTTTGCTACATAAAGGCTTTTAGCTGGCCTTTTGCTACTTTTAGCTTTTAGTCAGCATTTTGCTACTTTATCTTTTAACAAGTGTTCTGCTTCGTTTAGCTTTAACAGCTCAGTTTAAGCTTTTTCAGCTATATTTGGGAGGAAAATGTCAGTTTTCATTAGTGATTTTTTTTTTTTAGCACAAGTTGTTGATAGTTGTTAGTTACAGGTTTTTGTCCAACACTGTAATAACATATTTGAAAATACAGCTCAACATTTAATCACCTGTTTTATACTTTACAGAGTCCCCAAATGGAGCTGAGCAAGTACCAAACTCTGCCGGGGAAGCTGAGTAAAAAGAACAAACCGAAGCATGAGCTGAACGGCAGCAGAGGGACAAACACCGAGTATTTATCTCCTGTCCACCTCTCTCCTGCTCGCAACACAGACTACAACCTGAGTGAGTTTCTGCACCACAAAAAAAGACATTATAAGTTTTCGGCTAAATATGAGGTAACCATGGAAACATACTGAAACCAAACAGAACTTCCAGCTTTTCAATGAAGCAGTTTGTTGTTGTGGATAGATGAGATTTTCTTTAAAACATTAGTAAGTTTTCTCCTGAATGGTTGTAGATCTGTGCACACTGTCACATCTGGAGGCTTTGAGCTCCAAGCAGAAACTGAACCCTCCCAGGCAGAAACCAGAAAATAATTATTACACCAAACGGGATAGCTCAAGATAAACACATGATCACAGTTGATGGGACAAGAGTGACTTATCTTGTATCACAGAAGGGTTCTCCTGCAGTACAATAAAGTTATTGAATAGACAAATATCAGTTTATGTGGACAAGACACTTAGCTAAAGCATTCTGTTGTGTAGCTCCAGCTCAGCTGCTTTTAACCCCTAAAGTTTCTAAAATGGTTCATTTTTGAGAATATTTTCTATTTACCAGTAGTTCCTCATTTATTGCACCCCCCCCCCCCCCGGCAATAAGTAAAAATCCGTGAAGTATCGACATTATATTTATTTTAGTATTTATACATAAAGACTTTAGAAACCCTTCCCACACTCTTGAAATGTTCTAAACCCTTAAACCTACTAATTTTAACAACAAACTTAAATGTAGCTACTAAATTTTACTCACCAGCTCTGCAGAACAGCAGCGGCTCGGTTCTGGTCAGCTCTCTGGTTTGGGGTAGTGGCGGTGGGCTCCAGAGAGAAGCCGGACCTCCGGCGGCACGTCCCCCGCTTAGAACCCTTGTAGACCGGCTAGCAGCTCTCTGGCTCACCGTATGAATAAGCACCAAACTTTTTCTGATTAGATCAAAACTTTCCCTCTAGTATTTCAGCAGAAGGCAACAGGGCTTCTGGGTGGGGCACGGTTGGCTTCTGGGAAATGTAGTCCTTATGAGTGAGTATACGGTGTAGAATTATTGAGAGAAAACTACAAAATGGTGGCTCCTGTCCAAAGTCCAGTATTTATTTATTTTTGTACTGAACAGTATCCCGTACTGTCCCAATCACGTGAGTAATATTAAAGTTGACTATAATTTCATGTACAATTTTTTTTCATGTTCAATCTTACTTTGAAAAACCGCAAAAGAGCGAGTCCGCGAAAGTCGAACCGCGAAGTAGTGAGGGACTAGGGACTACTGTGTAGTATGAGAAACATATCATGCTTATTCAACAATTTTCAGTCAGGTCATCTGGACAGTTTCTTTTATTGTGTGTTGAAACGTTTCACCTTCCATCCAGAAGGCTTCATCAGTCAAGGAAACACACAACACAAAACTGATTCTTCCCCCAACAGCTTACTCCAAAGCGGAACAAACCAGTTATGTTGGTGCTAAGATGGTCTCTTTGGCACGCCCCCTCCTCCGGAGCCAGCCCTCTCCCTCGTCGACAGTCATGTCAAAATGGTTCAAAACCAACAAAGTCCATTCTCAATAATCCAGTTATACAATCCAACAATTTTCAGTCAGGTCATCTGGACAGTTTCTTCTTTTTTGTGCTGAAACATTTCACCTTCCTTCCAGAAGGCTTCATCATATTGTCGCTACTTCATCATTATCATGTTTATCTTGACCGTGTATACTGTTGGTCACCTGGTGTTGCTGCTGCAGTATTTCTATGAATTTGCTCAGAACTTGTGTTGGAAAACCTGAATCGATGATGATCACCAGGTATTGTGGCTGCTGTGACTTCAGCAGAGTCGTGGAGAAGGCCTCGTCATGAAAAAGTTCTGCTGAACTGTGTAACAGCTCGTTGGGGTTCGATTGATAAAAGGAAGAAACCAAGCTTGTCCTTTCTAAACCAGCCTCTTTGCTACTTTAGCATCAAAATGAAAGATTGACGTCTGTTGTGTAGTTTAACTCAACAAGAAAGTAATTCCCTCATTGTCGAAAGGCAAACATATTGTGGTATAGACTCTGTCTGTACATACGTACATTGTATGTACATCATCACCAAACAGAGTGTCACATACACTTTTCATCACGCCAGCTCCAAGGTCAAGGTCAAAGTTAAAACAAGGTCTTTGCTTGCCCGGGCCATTGATTGCTGTATAATAGTTTGTAAAGGGGTGTATAATGTGCCGTATACGGTTGAATAGGAAGTTCTGGATATAAACAGATGATAATAACAAACTTGAATTTTTAATGCTTAATAACTTTTTGTCAACTAATTTTGCTTCACTTGCTTAATTTTATATGTATTTTCTCCTCTTCTTCCTCCTTTGTCCACTTTGTTTGTTGTTGGTCTGAATGCAGTTCGCTGCAGGAGTGCCAGCGCTCCAGTTTTAGGTACTGTATGCCCTCACAGAAACGCAGACGTCAGTCATGCTCATCCAGATGTACCGACTCAGAGCACTTAATGCTCCCACAAACATGCATCATCTGTCGAACAAAAACATTGTTTATCTCATGAAGAAAACAGGATTTCTCAGATTTAGTAAAGCCTACGGACTGAGCTGAGTCAGGCTGAGGGACTGGTTTTACTGAGGATCAAGCAGCTCTAGAACCAGGAATATTGTGACTCCCTCGTGACTCAGAGGGTTGGTGAAGATAAAATGTGTCTCCGGCATTAGCATAAAGTTCAGGTTATAAGCATGTAGCCACTCATACGATATCTGAGGTTTCAGAGCTTAACGTAGGAAAGTAACCAAAAGGCTGTGTGGGTGAGGAGGGCAGGCTTAAAGCGTGTGTCGATGAGCCAGTGAACGAGTCCCAAAGTAAACAAAAAATAACGTGACCTGCCGACCTTTTTCACTCTCACGACCTCCCACTGTCCTCTACAGAGCAGACCCAGAGTGAAGATAAAATATCACCAACTTTACGTTGGAGATTTTACAATTTAGTTTAGAAGTGGATTTGCATGTTGCTGCTCAACAATAAGAAGTGCTTTTATTTTGAAAATAAAGGTTTGACTAATGCTGGCCTCTGCTTCTCTTCTCCTGTCACTAACCTCCTCTGACTTAGGATCTCCAGGAAAACATGACCTGTATGACGTCGGTGGGTATTGATGTTGAGAAGCTGTTTTTCCCTCGGCTGCATTGGTTGCAGTGATTTTTTTAAATTTTATTTCATTGATTTCATGGCTCTTTGTGATTGGTTTGCGTTATTTCAGTAGTGTTTGCTGTCTGTAAATATACGTTCGTTGCCATTCTGTGACTCGGCATTCATTATTTTGCGTAGAATGACCATCATGTCTCTTTGTTTTGTTTTGCCACAACAAATGCTGCCTCGTAATGCATCTCTTGCATCTTCATACAGTTGTTGGTTGCTCTTTTGATGTTGTCGTTTTCCGTTTATTTGAAATCATTTTCATTTTAAGCTGTTTTTGTTATTGCTGTGTGTTTTTTTTTTTAAAGATGTTTATGTTAATTTGTCTTCACAACAAATAGAACCTATTGTCTGAAACAGAAGACTTGGTCCTGGGCTCCACATGTGCCCAAGCAAATATCAGTTTATTGTAACAAGTTTATTTCTAAAGTTTGTGTTCATATTTTTCATAATACTTTTTCAGCTGTGTATAAAATATTGTGTGTAAAAAGGCAAAAACTACTGGAAGTTTTTATTTACAGGTCCAAAGAACTCTTTATTTATATAAAGAAATCTTACCGTGTCGTTTGTCTTGGAGCAGTTTACTGATCCGTGCCCAGTTACAGGTCATTAATTAACCGCTAATAAACCTGTGTACTTATTGTGTTTACGTCCTGCAGGCCATTCAGAGAAACTGGAGGAGTATATCCTGTCAGATCAGTCTCCGCTGTCCTCTGGAGTGGACTCTGGACAGCAGTCTCCTGTCTCCCCAGAGAAAAGGAAAGGCCAACGAGGCATAAAGAAACTCTGGGGGAGGTAAGTTTTGAAGCTTTCGCATTAAAAACATTTGCTCGTATTCTGTTTTACACTCTTTGGAAATCGAACGCTGCTTGTGTTGTCTCCAGGATTCGTCGCAGTCAGTCGGGCAGTCCCGTCCAGGTTCACGACCCGGAGCTGGGAGACTTCAAAAGGGGGGGCTTCAGAGCCACAGCTGGACCTCGATTGGCCCATTCAGCCAAAACACGGTACACCAACACATTTATGCATAAAGCCGTATGAAGACGTGTTACAGAAGGATGTTACACTAAACTGTAACATCATAATAAACTCTGTCGTACATGATTATCATGTTTTAAATGTTTGACTTCTATGACAGCATGTAGCTAACTTTAGCTGGTATTCAAAGAAAATGTGTATTTGTCGACGCTGTCAGGTTAAAACCTTGTATCTCCATTTTTCCACAATTTTCACGTTTGAATGAATCAACTCTACTGGTCACCCTTCACACCATCTGTGCTTTTGTGGATGGCTAAGTCATAAAAAGTGTAAAAAAAAAATTGAGTTTGACTAATTAAAACAAAATTTTTATTTGATTTTTTCCTGAAAAATTGTGTTTTTGGAGAGACATGCTTTCTGCCTGACGACAATGATATATAAATTCTTCTTATTTCAATAAGTCAAATAGAATGACTCTTTCAGAGTAAATGAAATCATTTTGTGGCAACTTTGTTCCACAGTTATGCTTGATTATAAAAATATCTCAATTGTTCTCTTTAAACAACTCTTGATAGATATCTAAGTCTGTAAATTGACAACAGTAAATATTTAGATAGCTGCTGGGGATGAAACTTTTCTTTTTACCTCTCATCTTGTAGCATTTATGGAGCATCGTGGAGCAAAAAATAATCAGAAATACCCTCCTGCCATTCGTTTATGCATGTTGTGAGCGCCAAGTGTAAGAAAGGTTCTTTCAAGAATTGAGTAGCCATGCCAAAATTCAAGATGGCGTCCACCATATATACCTTACATGTAAATCGACCACCCCTATCATTTGAGGAAACTATATACTCTTTAATGTTTATATTGCTTAAAAGTATAGTTTCCTTGAATGATTGGGGTGGGGGGTGGGGTGGCCAAAGATGAATCTATGGTGGCCAAGGCCACCATTGGCCGCCCCCTGGCTCCGCCTTTGTGCCTGGTGGTGGATAAAATGACTCCTTCCACTCGCCAGGATCAGTCACTACATCGACTCAGTCAAGAAAAAAAAACTACCTCTGCTCTTCTACACAGTTTAACTTCTACAAACTTGAACATCTTGCACCAGTAACATTAAGGTTTACTTGTACTCGCTGTTCAATTCCGTCCAGAAAAACACTTATCTTGAAAACGACAAACAATAACTATTCGAATCTCTCAGCGACGGGGGACATCAGCATACCGCTTGTCTTTAGTCTGATTCTACTTGCACAATAAATACTAACCTGGAAACAAAACCTGAGGTCCAATTTAGTTTAACATTTTGGATTGAGATATTCGGTGTGTTTATTTTCATTAATTTACTGGCACATTTGACCAATGAGGACTTTAAAAGAAATAGTTCTGTGGCCCCTTCCAGCCCTTGATTCATACATTTGCTCATAAGTGATCTGGGGCCAAAAAGTAAAAGAAAGTGACCGGTGTACTGTAAGTAGTTGTAGCTTCAGAAGTCTCATGTAAAATCTTATTAACTCTGATATATTGACAGAGATCTAAAGTTGCCGTTTTCTAAGTGGAGCACAGAGCAAGTGTGTGACTGGCTCGAGGACATCGGACTTGGTCAATATGGCTTCCTGGCTCGGAACTGGGTCAGCAGCGGTCAGACGATGCTGTCTGCCAGCCCGCACGACCTGGAGAAGGTGCGGACACACACAATTAGAGATGTCTGTCGCTTTTCAGCCTCAGATATGTTTCACTTCCTCCTGTCTGATCGTTGTCACCGTCCGTCCGTCCGTTTGGCTGTTAGTAACGCTCGTCTCTGTCTTTCAGCCTGATCTTTAGTTTTGCCTCGTACCTCCGTCTCCCTCGTCAGCATCATTTTAATTAAATAAACCAACCTGACAGCTCTTTTTTTCCTCAGGTGAACCTCCTTTAGCATCACTTTTATCTTTCTGTCTGCAGGAACTGGCCATGAAGAATCCACTCCACAGGAAGAAGCTCCAACTCTCCATGAAGAATGTCACCAGCAAACAGCCGGAGAAATCTGCAGAGCTGGATTACGTCTGGGTCACTCGTACGAAATCACACACGGACACACGCAGATACTCATTTATCTTGACATTGTTTTCCTAAGAAAAAAAACATACAGTTCTATGACTAATGCAGATCTTTAGAAATCTGGACAGATGAACACATATTTTTTTTACAGTTCTGGTCAATGTGTGTTTTCCTTTTACCAAAAAATAGTACAATTGGTTATCTTAAATAAATATGTATTTAACAACATTTAGATGAACTAAACTGTGGCCTACCAGTTGATCAGTTAATTGGCCAATTGCTTTTTTATGGCAAATATTGGCTAAATTATTCAGTCTACTTCTACTAAGTTCATGTTGTCATTTTGTTCCAGGATGGCTCGACGACATCGGCCTTCCTCAGTACAAGGACCAGTTTAATGACGGAAGAGTTGATGGACAGATGCTGCAGTACCTCACTGTGGTGAGTTGAAGATGTCACTGCTTTTGTTCTGTATAATTTAAAAATGATAAGTCGTGTTTTTGCTACCTTGCAATGAAAAATGTTTTTTTTCTGTATGTGCACTCATCTTTCTTCCCTCCATCTCAGAATGACTTGCTGTTCCTCAAAGTGACCAGCCAGCTGCACCACCTCAGCATCAAGTGTGCCATTCATGTTCTCCATGTCAACAAATTTAATCCGAACTGCCTCAAACGCAGACCCAGCAATGAGGTAGTTTAAAGAATGAGTCACACACACACATACACACACACACACACACACACACACACATATATATATATAGTAGTCCCTCCCTACTTCGCAGTTACAAATAAAGTCCAGTTATTTTTGTATTGAACGTTTTTTGAATTCATCATGTCCTGGATGAGTGAGAATCTTCACCAGCATACTTCGCAGTTAGTTTTTCGCGGACCCACTCTATCGCAGTTTTTTAAAATATGATTGGACATAACACACAATGGGCTGATTGATGGATGAGCCGCACGATGAGCATGGATTTTTTTATTTAAAATAAATTGTTTTATATTATTTAGCACCTCCTGCACCTTTGTGCAGTCCACATTGCAGGATGAGCTTCCTGCTGCAGCTGATCAGCTGTTCTCCGTGCAGAGCGGAGAAGTGGGCGTGGCCAAGAAAGCTTGCAGGTGGCCAAGAGCAAAAATCATAACATTCTGTGCTCTTTTAGAGTGTCTAGTTTAGAAACATTGTTTAGAATATTGCAAGAGTGTGGGAAGGGTTTAAAACGCATATATATATATGTTGTGTTTTTTGTGTACTTACACTGGCCTGTGTTCCTGTGTGTTTCAGAACCAGTTCACTCCCAGTGAGGTGGTCCAGTGGTCCAACCACCGGGTCATGGAGTGGCTCAGATCTGTGGACCTGGCTGAGTATGCGCCCAATCTGAGGGGCAGTGGTGTGCACGGAGGGCTGATAGTGAGCACTTAAAATCAAACTGTTTATGGGTTTGAAAAAGAATTTGCAGGAATCATCGTACGTTGTCTGTTCTCTGATAGATGCTGGAGCCTCGGTTTAACTCCGACACACTGGCTATGCTGCTGAACATCTCTTCTCAAAAAACACTCCTGAGGCGCCACTTAAACACCAACTTCAACAACTTAGTGGGGGCGCAGGCTCAGCAGGAAAAGAGGGAATACATTGAGGCAGCAGGATATTCCCCACTCAACATCACTGCTAAAGTCAAGGTAAGAAAACACAAAAATACACCTTTAAGATACGCAGAGGTGGCAAAATGTAGCAAAACAGAACCACACATGCAGTTAGCCTGTCTGTTCCTTTATGTGTGAAGAAAACATCCTAATCTGTGGCGAGGCCTCGGTGTGTCAGCTCACTTTAATCTCTGAGCCCTCCTCTGTCGTTTATCCTGTGAATGCAGGACGCATCTGCTTTTCCTCGCAGCTCTAAGACTCTGCCGTCGCTGCAGCCTCAGTGTTAAGACCCTCATTGCTCTGCTGAAGAAATACTGGAAAATAATCCAACCCAAAGCACAATTTACTCTTAGCTGAACCAGGTTCACCCTCCAACACTTGGATCTGACAGTTTTTAAGCTCTGTGTGCAGTCATATTATTGAGGCTAGTATAAGCTGGTATGCTGGATAAACCACATAAAAATAGATTTGTTAGAGGGAGAATGTGTGGTTTGTAGCTAGAGCAAGCTGAAAGAAAACATATAAAAACTGTGGCGTTTCACTTCCTGTTGACACTTATTACTCACAGGCAGTGAAACCAACATAACGTGTAGATGAACCAACTAAAATAGACCCTAATCTAGTTGATGACACCCACACAGCTTTAGTGTGCATCAAAGGAAGTACCTGTATTTTAGCAGTTAAAGCTTTATAGTTATGTTATCTTTGCCATAATACAGAACTGCTGTTAATAAGAGTGTCAAATCTTAACCTTCTTCTCTGCCAGTTTGAGCTTGTTTTGTTTTTGTGTTGTCTGAAGAAACTTTTACTTCAATAAAATTATTTGTTCAGCACAGTTACTCATGAAAAGTCATCTTGTTGTACTTTACAGATACACTAAATTATTCTAATCCAACTTCATATGGTCCAGTTCATTACGTTAGTTTGAAACACTAGAGCTCCAAAATGCTGTTTAAGTCGTCTTTGAGCCTGCAAGACGTTTTTAATGCTTCTTAAAGGTGGTATGTCGCTGAGCTGCAGGTAGTTGGTGAATGGCATTCATGAGGGAGTCCCCTGAGGGACTCCAGAATGTCCTTCTGCCATTGAGGAACAAAGCAAAAAATAAGGTGGGAACTAAATAATGTGCACGGCAAAGAATGCACTTTTAGAAGCTGTGGTTTTTAAAACCTGGCAGTTGAAAATGTAATTGCACGGCCACTTGGTCGTAAACACTGAGTTCAGTGAGGCTGCAACAAAAAAAATAAAATCAAGTATTTTCTAACAGTTTTGCAGCAATTTTGAGATTTGTTTTCACCCACTAGCTTCACAACACTCGCAGCTCTGTGAGATACCACCGTATGAAACATGAATAATGATTGCAAAGGTTAAAAGCCCTAAAACTGAAACCTTCTGAGAGGGTTCAGTGGGTTTAGAAAAGTTAAAACGTGACAAAGTTTTTTTCTCTCTCTCATTTCCTGCAGCCAAAGAAGTTGGGCCTCTCGAACCTGACGCACCTCAGGAGGAGACGACCCGATGAGTCCACAGACTACATCTGTCCAATCGAGTCGTCCCCGCCTGAGTCGGCACCAAACGGGGTACAGATGCGACCGTTTGTCAGCTTCAGAGGTCTGAGCCCTATTCTGGACCGGGAGCCCACCAGGGACCAGGTGGGCCGCGAGGAGACTAAAGCAGACACATTGCCATGACAACAAGGCGATGCTGTGCCAATACCACGAACGACTTAAGTTGTCCAGCTCCCCATGGACGAATCAGATGCTGCTACTTTGCTTCCTTTGCTTGCAGCCCCGATACCTCAACCTGCCCCCTCCCTGCACCTTTAAACCCCGCCCATCAGCCCCACCTGTGCCTTACTCCCACAGAGACGCCCTGATAAATCCGACCGACTGATTTAGTTGGCTGCCCGTCATGCTGCAGGGTGCTCTAAGACATCATGGATTTGACACTTGAAGTATTTTGCTCTCACTAGTCAGATGCCGAACTAACCTCAGACCTGTGCCATGAACCCAGCCTCGCTCTCTGGACTCTGCTGCATCACTCCCTCTAATGTAGATGTCTTTACAGGTGTTATTCAGCTGCTGCATGATTTACACCTTTAATCTTTTCTGAGATAAACTTGTGCAATATTTGCATAATTTTATGGAGGGATTTTATTTATTATTTATGACACTACAAAGTTAATGATATAATAGTGTGTTTTGTACAATACTTTAGTTGTTGTTTTGTTTTTACATTACTTTCATATTTAACTAACAGTATTTTTATAACAATGAAAATTTGCAAAAACTAACATATGTAAATGTCAAGATTTATAAAATCATTTAATAAACTAAATATTATCTGTAAAAGGTTTTTGTGTGTAAAGTTGTACATTGTCTGTATACTTAGACTGAATCATATATTTAGAGGTAAAACAGAGTCTGGTTCTGCAGTATGGTCTTGCTTTTTCCAGGAAGCATGCATTTTATTATGTCTCTAATATACAAAACACAAAAAAGAAGATTTGATGCAGCTGCCTACAAACAAAATTGTCTGTGCTGCTTTGTGGAGCCAGCATGTCTCCGTAATCTGCATCATCCACTAACCTGCTTTCATCCTCCTCATCATGTCTGTCATGGCTGATTATGACGACAGCTTCACCCTCAACTGACCAGTCCAGCCTCCATCAGCATGCCAGCCCTGTTAAAGGTGACATGGGGGTGCATGCGTGTGTCTCCATGTTCCGCTCCAGGTACAAAATGTCCCCATGTGAATAGACTAATCCCAATCTTTAAAAAATGGCATGTTGTGCGAATTGTAAATAAAAACAGAATCTCATAAAACCATGTTTTATTCGTAATGGGACATAAATGTCAAATGTTGATGCTAAGGAATTGTACTTTTTTTTTTACGAGTTAATTTTGAATTTTATGGCAGCAAAACACATTAAAAAAAAGTTGTACCAGTGCCCTGTTTCTCACTGAAGTGCCCCTTTTCTATTGACAACAGTCTGTAAATGTCCAGGAACAAAGACCGGTTGCTGAAGGTTTTGGAGGGAAATTTGTCCCATTCTGGTTGGATGTAGGATTCAAGCTGCTCAGGCCTGGGTCTGAGGGATTTTTTTTGCTGGATGTTCAAAAACCTTATAGTAGTCCCTCACTACTTCGCGGTTCATTTATCGCAGACTCGCTCTATCGCAATTTTTCAAAATATGATTGGACATGACACACAAGTGGCTGATTGATGGATGAGCTGCACAATCGGTATGGAATTTTTATTTTAAATACATTATTTTAAATTATTTAGTGCCTGCTGCACCTTTGTGCAGCCCATACTGCAGGATCAACTTCCTGCTGCAGCTGATCAGCTGTTCTCTGTGCAAAGCGGAGAAGTGGGCGTGGCCAAGACTGCTTGCAGGTGGCTGAGAGCAGGAGAGGCAGAGAGGAAAATCATGACATTCTGTGCTCTTTTAGAGCTTTTAGAGTTTAGAAACGTTGTTTAGAATATTGCAAGAGTGTGGGAAGAGTTTAAAACGCCTTAATATATATATATATATAT